GAGGGTTCTCCACCCCGCACAACATGATCTACTCGACCACCATTATGGTTACCGCCAAAAAAAAAAACGGAGGTAAAATAAAAAAAACGGTAACCTGGTTGCCGAGTTCACGAAGTGAATTGGCTTGTTTTACAACGTCGTTGCCAAGCGCCGAAAACCCAATCCCGATGGCAAACACCGGGGGGGGCAGCCGTGCAGGTGGGTAGGGTTATTTTCGTGTTACCGAGCGAGCAGCAGTGTCGGCGTGGGGTGTATTCCGGTGCGGTCCAGGTTGTTGGTCTTCCTGAAGGAGGGGAGGGAGGAGGAGAGGGAAATGGCTGAAAATCGGCTGTTCGTCCGCGCTGTGCCACAAGAAACAAGATAAATCGGGTAGAGATCCATCCTCGCGTCGATACGATGTGAATGTTGTGCTCGAATAGCGCTCAGCGTCTCCCAGTGCAAGGCTCTTGCTACAACCCCGCATGACATGTGCATCCCTGTCGAGTTGGGCTTCACGGCATGTTCGCTCCCCTCTCGCCGCGAATAATAAAACGACGAACGAACGTTGACATCCAGGTGTCCCTCTTGGGAGGCCTTGATCCGGAAAAGCACCTCAAGATGGGTCAGACCCTCAAGAAACTTGTCGACGAACGGGATGTTTTGGTCGTCGGCAGCGGCCAGGTGCGTGGTGACGTGGAGGGATCAATCAATCAGACCACGTTGGGGTGGTCACGACCAGATAGTCTGAAAAAAACACAGGCGGAGGTTTTCGCTTGCCGGTGGTGATTATCCACGCAGAGCCAGCCCGTGGTGCGAATCGCTCGGCCGATGGCCGTAAAAATATAGTGGGGTGCGCTTGACTTCTTTTGCGAACACTAGATGTGCAGAGAACGTAGACGGTTCCTACGCCCTTCCTGTGTGACGACAGACGCTGAGCATCGAGCGCCCGAATCTTGTCTACTCCAGGAGGCGGGATCGTGTGTCCAATGTGTTGCCTTGAGTTTTTTACCCGCCCCGGCCCACTCCCTGCCTCGGTCGTTAACCGTTCTCCGCGACTGCAATGATCCGCCGTGTCAGGCGACCCATGGCAGTGGCAGCGATCACCGCCCGTACCCGCCAGGCAAGGGAGCGCCGAAGGAAGAGGCCTTCGTCGACTGGCTCAAGGAGACCGCCGCCTCCTCTGCCGTTACCCCGGAGGAGCGCCAGCGACGGCTGCGGGAGTGGGAGAGGGACGCGCCGCACGGCCGCAACGCTCACCCTCGCGAGGAGCACCTCCTGCCGCTGCATGTCGCGGCCGGGTGCACCGGCTTCCAGCCGGGATCCATCATCTTCGACGACTTCGCCATGGGCCACATGTCGCTGGCTTGCGTGGGGTTCTGGCCCGGTGGCGGGGAGGGCGAGGCGAAAGGCGGGAATGATGAGGGTGTGTGCTCTGCCTGACCACGTTGCCCCCCCCCCCCCGGCCGGTAATACCTGGCTTCTCTGACGCAGTACTTGGTGTTATTTTGCGTGATAGTGCTGAGTGGAGCACCTTGTGAGGTATGCAGCGTTCCCACTGAGCTACCGGTCAGCGCTGCCTGTTAGCTCAGTAGGAACGCTGCATGCCTCAGAACGGAAGGAACCGGAGGCCTATGCAGCTGGGAGGCTGTTCGACCTCCCATTCTCCGCGCAAAGGGCATGTCCTTCATTCTACGCTTTCCCACAAGCCTTATCGGCGAACTGGCGGGTCCCGAGTCTCTGTCGTGGCAACTGGAAAGACGTCGTTCATGCATATGTTTTCAGTCCGAATTCGTTCCTTGACAATTTGCGCCTCGGATGCCTAAAGAGAGATTCAGACCCCAATCGAGGCTTGTTACCGATAGGAGCAAGCCAATAGTGTAGTGTTGTTGCGGGAGTTTGTCTCTCCTCTCCTCGAATCGGTTTCGGTGAAACCGTCAAAAAAGAGAATATTCATTCCTGGTCGTGTCGTCGCCCACTCGGGAAAATTCGGGATGGAGTGGCCATATAGAGAGCTGACGAGGCATAGACCCCATGTTCCTGCTGACAAGAGCCATAGGTGGAATTAGGCGGCCTTGTGGTATTTAGGGCCCTTGAATCAACACGGTGCGGACAGATTGAAAGGGCCTGACCACCTTGTCGGGTGCTTTTTTTCGGAATGAAAGGGTTGCTTTTGGATGTGTGGCATGGCAAGTTGTACATTTCTCCGGCGAAGGTCAGGCACCTGGATTCTGCTGTGCATACGATAGATCTGAGAAGAATCGGACGGGATCGTACCCTCGCTGTTGTAATTTGCCATTCTTATAGCCTCGCCGTTTCAAACCGTTTTCTAAGTGCTAAGTTCAGAGCGAAGATGAAGTTTGTTCCGCTGAGTCTACATTTTTTGCGGTTGTTTCTCTTCCGTTTGACACGGCTTTTTGTAAAAAACATTCAACTATACGAGCGCCCCGTCCCCGTCGTGGTGTCTCAACCACATCTGACTTTTCTGGCGATAATCGTGGCACAAATGTTCGAGTGCCACACGGCGGAACAAGTTTCTTGTTCACTTCACGATAGATTTCGGTAGGGTCTTGCCGTCACTTCATCATGCCCCAGCTTCACAAGATGCGCGGCACCTTTGAGATGCTCAAGCCTGTCTATCGTTTTTTGTTCGTGATAGTCGTTTAATGAAGCTTTAGGTCTCGAACGTTCGGCGGACTCGATGAAGAAACAACGACCTTCCGCGCCCGTCACACTTTCTCAAATCAAACAGCTGTGACGGATAGTATTTTGGCACGTGTGTCGTCACCATTACTTGCTTTTGCAACACCAGTGCTTCTGGGTGTTCCCTGTGGTGTGGAGCTCGTACTCCCCCAGCGCACCCGCCCAACATTGCTCGCGCGTCTCCGGCCTTGCCCACCTTCTCTCCCCCCCACACTACGGGGCTACACTGCTCCAATGACGAAGGCGATGACCGTCGTAAAGGCCGCGGCAACGGCAGCAACAACACCGGGTGTGTGCTTCCCTCGTGGCGTGGCGGCGTTCAACGGAGAGTGGTACTCGTACAGGTAGCAAGCCTCGTCCGGATCCTAGTAGTTCATCGCGGGGGGTGGGATCAGATGGAAGAGGGTTTCATGGGACCTACGGCAGAGAACTTGCCAACAACCCGTGTACTTAAAAGGAGTAAGGAGTGTGTGCTTGTTGGTTCATTGATACATACAGTTGGTGGGGGCGATGCAAGACGATTGGCAAATGTGTAAGGCCGCCGAGATCAGCTTGCTCAACCGGGACCCGGAAATGGCGGTAGTCGCCATTTTCAGGACGGATCCTGTGTACTGCCGTAACCTCCCAACGTAAAACCCGCTATCAGGCGGTTGTGCTTCTCCTGGAAGAGACAGTGAACAACATCCCCACCTCGTCACCACTTCCACATTTTTCACAGTGTAGTGGGTCTCACGAACCTTGTCCATGTCAACCCTGGGTCAAATAAACCGGTTCCGACGAATTCCTGCCCATTCCAACTCTCAGTAGGTTGTCATCAAACTCTCCGAGCTTCCGCTGTAAATCCCACGTTTCTCGCTTTCGTGTTATATACGAGCGGGGAATCGCACTCACCTACATTTCGTTTCGCCGAGTTACTGACTGCGTTGTGCTTACTTGAATCTTGCCCTCTTGCTTTCTACGTTTATTTCATACCTCTCCCTGCGATAGGCAACGGTATACATACTGGCGTGGGAAGACCACCTGCTTCACTCCCCTTGCCCCCGCCCATGTAACGACATCACAACTGGTACACCTGTGTAGCCTCTCTTGCCTGCGAATAAGGGCCGGGCATGCACTCCTCATCGGTGGGGGGGCAATCAATCGACCGGCACAAGTCCTGCCATTCCACCACGTTGTTGGCGCAAGTCTTGGCCAACTGCACGCAGTAGCTCCGGCAGGGGTAAACCTGGTCGTTGCACGTTTTCACGTTTAATTTTTCATGGATGATCTTTCTTGAAAAGCGGAGGGCTCGTCCGTTTCTCCGCCGTCTGTGTGCCGGGCTTTGGGGTCGTAAATGCACTGAAAGTTCCATTCCGAATGCACAACCAACCCCGTTTCGGCTTGTACTGTTGCCCCGAAGGAAAAGATAGGGGCGGCGGGAGGGGTCAAGGGGAGGTTGCGACAGGAGTCTCGAGCGCGAATCACTGGTTTGTCTCTGAAGTTATTTTTTTCGAGAATGAAGCAGCTGATCGATTTCATGCGACGGTATATGCCCTTTGTTTCTTCTGCGGGCATAGGAAGTGTGAAGGAACGATAGCAAGGGCTTTCAGCGGTCGTTGTGAGACAATCATGGATTTTGAGGAATACAGCCGTGGAACTCCCGAGAGACGAGATTGAACGACCGACGAGGTCGGACATCCTGTCTCCGGGAAGAGAACGGCGCCTCGCTTAAGACATCAACTATTACGTGTTATCTGACAAATAGATATTTCTCCAATAGCGTGTACTCTGATCCATTGCCCACTTCTGTACCGCACGTTGGGCATGAACGTAACCCACATGTACACGGTAGTTTGTCAGACACCTGCGCTTCGATGCCACAGCGGTTGTCATACATCTCGTTGGCGCTTCCCCACCAGAGGCACGTATAGTCGATGACCATCTCTCGGCAGGCATCCGTGTCTCGGAAAGTCTGGAACAACAAGAAACCGATTATTATGCGTTTCAGACTCACACACTGTAGTTTAGATGCAATTTTCATGGCACAGCGTGAGGTTGTGCTCATGTTTGTCTAGGTGTTTGTGTTTGCGATGTGCAAATCACGATCGTGTTTCTTGTTGTACTTCTTCATGTAGGAGGATGATGTTTTTTTTACAATAAGACTAGATCAAGTCGTAATGATCTGTCATAAGCAAGGCCTTCATTCGTACAGGAGTACTCAGCAAAGATGCTAGATATCATACCAGGTCCGTAGTTTGAGCCGGTGTCTTATGCAGGTTTGTGCAAACTACGACTAAATGATAACCCCAAACGTCTGCGCTCAAGCCTTTGTGACAGCGCACCTTAGAAGGTCCAAACACTTCCAGGCGAGATGCCCTGTCCTCGAAGTTTTCGCACGACCCCAGAATGGTAGCCTCGCCTGGAAAGTATTTATCCTCCACCTGGCCAGTTTCAATATTTCAACCAGGTTACTGGTCTAGCTCGCTACAGAGTGGATATCTACGTGACCTTTTCCTCGGTAGGTCTGGGCCATTGTCGTCAAGGTCATTACCGAAGGCAGAGAACGAAAACGGTCAAGACATGTAGGGTACTGTACGGTAATGCTTTAGGCGAACCGATGATCTCAACGAAGGCACACTGGTACTAACTGTGCACCAACGGTACCGACCGCAGAAGCCAGACAAGATGTGCATGAGGCTGCTGCGTATCCAGGGTCATCGAGACTTAAATCCATACCTTGTACCCGTTCAACACGTCGCAGTAGAAAAGACCGAAACACTCGATGCAACATGGATCCGAAGAGGATGCGGGGCCGCAGTTTGAGCTCGTCGACGCTAAGCCCCTGTGTGCGGCTGATGCCGGGTATGGCGCCGGTACGTATCCGTTGGTTGGATCGACGAACAGCACAAGACGGGTGGAACATTCCTATGGTGTTGCATAACGTGAAGTGAAGTTGTACATACAGGATGTGTCTATTGTCAGAAGTCTACCGCCCTACAGTCTATTCTTTTCCCCGCGAACAAATCACCGTCTGGAGGGTGCGGAACGCGTACCAGGCGTGTACGTACCATACAGTGGCTGTTGCTTGACTGTGTGTACCACCGAAGGAACCAAGCGTGAAGCAAGCCTATTGGCGTGTAAGACCGAGTGTTCGTACCCTGGCACTCTGTAGCTCTCTGAACTCACCGGCAACCCAGTTGGATCCTGCTGGTGTTGTTGCCCCAGACTGCGCAACGGTTCTGCTAAAATTTCCCCAATAGTCTCGGCGCGGATCGAACATGCCATCGTCCACAAACGGCTCTCGCGGTGTTGCCGGCACCTTTGCTATGTTCGACCTCGTGCCTTTCTCAGCCGACGTCGCCGTCGACGCTGCTACAAAGTAGCTCAGCTTTGTCATGCTAGAGCTCTTTATGCCAGATATTCTGCTGCTCCTGCTGCTGTGGACCTGTTTTGGATGCTGTTGCTGGTGATTCCGAGGTCCGTTCTCCGATAAAGCGAGAAGCATGATACTGCTGCACACCACCGTAGCGGAGGCCGCTCTTACTACTACAATCGGTGACCGCAGTCTCTTACGAGAACCTGACATGCTGCTGTATCGTGGATTGTCCGACAGATCGTGCGGCAGATTTGACGACGAACCAACTGCGGAGATTTCGGCTGTTGAGGTGGACGGCAGGGGGTTGATTGCTCAAGACACCACTGCGGTCTCGCCTCGATCGGTGGGAAAGCGCGTTGATCCTCTTCCGTCGGTCGGGTTTTCAGCGGTTGATGAGAGAGAGGGAGAACGGATCTGGACAAATCCTCGTCGTTGCCGGAAAAAGCAGAGAGATGGGTTCCCAATGGAGAACCCAACATAAATTGGTTCAGAGTTGGTTCGGATCTATTTCGCCGCACATGCTGTTGTTACACGTTGCAAGCTGTGTTGCTGAGAGTCTCAATGCTCTCGGCGTCCCTCCTGGAAGTCAATGAACGCCCGTTCGGGTATTGCGTAGAACGTTCTCAGACAGTTAGTCACGTCCGGATTTCAGGCCTAATGTGGCTGAGGGTGGCCCTTGTCACCAGAGATTTCCAAATCTATAATCGAAATCGAAGTCGATTTCGATTTTAGATTTCGGGTTGGCTCTACTCAAGACACTCGGTGGTGACGTATCGAAATCAAAAATGGAAAACATCATAGGTGACACGACAAAGGCCTGAAAAGTGTCGGTTCCAATGATTCACACCATGACCATGAGAGTGGCAGGGCATGCCACACAGCGAGCGACAGCAGTGCAGGATGTCGGCGATGATCAGGCGGGTTGGGGGGTCTTGTTCTCGCATCGATACGCTGCGAACTCAGCGAGCAATGTGTGATTGAATGCTGCGTGCTGATGAAGGAAAGCCGAAAGAGCTGCCGTTTCAAAGAAATAGTTTCCCGGCGATGACTCTGTCTCTCTCAACTTAGAGCAGATTTCGCTCAAAGACAGTACACCGTGATCTGCTATATGCCAGCTCTCTGCCAAGCTATTGCTTGCATCTCCAAGCAGTCTGTGGGTGGCTTGACGAGCATCGAGATGAAGGCATGTACGACTTTCAGAGAGTCTGGTAAGCAGCTGGCAAGCAACTTCTTGTTCCTGTTCACGCTTTAGATTTTCGATCTCGAGTCTGTTCGTGTTCGTTTTTGATTTTGCCATATCGGAGAATATTCGGAATAATTACCCCCAGATCGAAAATCTGGCGGCGGAACACTGCAGCCCTGTCCAATCAGTGACATTTTCGATTTTCGATTTTCGATTTT